TTGTCTCTGCATAAAAAATAAGAAAATTTGGCCTGGCATGGTAGTGCATGCCTATAATCCCAGCTACTTGGGAGGCTGAGGCAGGAGGATCACTTGAGTCCAAGAGTTTGAGGCAGTGAGCTATGATTGCACCACTCCACTCCAGCATGGGCAGCAAATCAAGACTATGTCTAAAAAAAAGAATAGGAAAGAGAATGGGAAAGGGAAAGGAAAGAAAAGAAAAAAAAGGGCAAAGGACTGGAATAGACACTTCTCCAGAAGAGATACAAATAGCCAATAAGCACATAAAAAGATGCTCAACAACACTGATCATTAGAGAAATGCAAATCAAAACTACGATGAGAACTTACACCCATTAGTATGGTTACTATAAACAAAAACAAAAAGTAACAAGGGTTGGCAAGGATGTGGAGAAATTGGAACCCTTGTATACAGTTGGTAGAAATGTTAAATGGTACAGCAGCTGTGGTTCCTCAAAATATTTAATATATAATTACCATAAGATCTAGCAATTCCACTTCTGGGACCCCCAAAAGCAGGGCCTAGAAGAGATGTTTGCACACTCTCTATCATAGCAGAATTATTTATAATAGCTAAAATGTGGAAGAAATCCAAGTGCCCAATGATGGATGAATGGGTAAGAAAATGTGGTATATACATACAATGGAATATTATCCAGTCTTGAAAAGGAAAGGAGGAAAATGTACCATATACAACAAAATGCATGAACCTTGAGAACACTACTGTAAGTAAAAAAAAGCCAGCCACAAAAAAACAAATCCTATAAGATTTCACTCATATTAGGTATCTAGAGTAGTCAAATCCACAGAGACAGAAATAATAGAGAATAGTGGTTACCAGGGGCTGGGAAGAGATGGAAATGGGGAGTTAGTGTACAATGGGTATAGAGCAGGGGTCCTCAAACTTTTTAAACATGTGGCCAGTTCACTGTCGCTCAGACCATTGGAGGGCTAGACTATAGTTTAAAAGACACTATGAACAAATTCCTGTGTACACTGCACATATCTTATTTTGAAGTAAAAAAACAAACGGGCAAAAACACTTGCATGTGGCCCTGCAGGCCGTAGGTTGAGGACGCCTGGTAGAGAGTCTCAGTTTTACAAAATGAAAAAAGTTATGGATGGTGGTAATGTTTGTACAATATTATACCTTTTTTGCTATATTAAAGGACATCCTAATTCTGTTCATCTTTACTGTCTGCCTGAAAGTATTTTATATACATATATATAAATTTTTGGAGACAGGGTCTCACCATTGCCAGGGCTAAAGTGCAGTGGCATCATCATAGCTCACTGCAGCTTCAAACTCCCAGTCTCAAGTAACTCCTACCTCAGCCTCCCAAGTAGCTAGGACTATAGGTGTGTGCTACCATGCCTGACTAATCTTTCTACTTTTTGTAATCACGGCATCTCATTACGTTGATCAGGCTGGTCTTAAACTCGTGGCCTTAAGCAATCCTTCTGCCTTGGTCTTCCAGTATAAATATACTAATTGCCACTGAACTGTACACTTAAAAATTGTTAAGATGGCAAATTTTATGTTAAGTGTATTTTACCACATAAAAAATCTGGAAGAAAAACACCAACTGCCATGTGTAATACATTATGTTTAGCATTGTAATAAGGTGTCATTAGATGCCAAATTGTCCCCTTTAATATGTGAGACAAAATGAATTAGGCTAAACAAAGAAACAGTAACAACAAAAAGCTTTGTCGATGCCAATGTACTCAGTAAGCAAAAGAAACTAGACTGAGAGCCTAAAATACATTAAATCAGGTCTGGTCCTCCCCTCTCCTCTCCTTACCAGCATAATCGGCCATCCCCATTTCTCCCCTTCTTTCCCAAATAAAACAAAACCACATCTACACTAAACTTTTTTGGGTTGCTTATGCAAAAGCTTATTGATTACGGACAGGAGTGCTGAAAATACTTTCAGGCAGACAGTAGAGATGAACAGAATTAGGATATTCTTTAATGTAGCAAAAAGGGTGAATCATACCAACAACCTATTTGTTACTGTAAATATAGACAAAAGTTAAGGAAATAGAACAAATAGATTTTTAAAACCATCTAAAATGTTGATTTGTGGCCGGGCGCGGTGGCTCACGCCTGTAATCCTAGCACCCTGGGAGGCAGAGGCGGGCGGATTGCTCGAGGTCAGCAGTTCGAAACCAGCCTGAGCAAGAGTGAATCCCGTCTCTACTATAAAATTAGAAAGAAATTAATTGGCCAATTAATATATATATAGAAAAAATTAGCCGGGCACGGTGGCGCATGCCTGTAGTCCCAGCTACTCGGGAGGCTGAGGCAGGAGGATTGCTTGAGCCCAGGAGTTTGAGGTTGCTGTGAGCTAGGCTAACGCCACGGCACTCACTCTAGCCTGGGCAACAAAGAGAGACTCTGTCTCAAAAAATAAATAAATAAATAAAAATAAAAAATAAAATGTTGATTTGTGAAAATGAAGGTCACAGTCTGCTGTCTTTGAGAGCTATCTCATTTTATTTCTACGTCCATGTCTTCTTGATTTCTCTGGTGGAAAAAGATGGCACTATCTTATATATCAGAATATATATATACATACACACACACACACACATATATATATATCAGAAGAAGCTGCCAGGCTTTCTTTTTTTTTACTTACTCTTCTCTTAAAGTACATTTATAGGTTCCTGATATGCATGTACCATAGAACATACCTAAAACATGTTTTAGATGAACAGAAAACAGATTTCTTTATATGATCACAGGATAAACATAGAAGTTCCTAACCAAAATAATACCAAAATCAAGGAACAACTTTTAAAAAAAGATTTTGAATGAAGTAAATATTATATCTAAAAGCCAATATGCTTATTATTATAGTAACAGAAGTAGCATGGCAGCAGCAGCAGCTCCCATTTACTGAAAGCTTGCTCAGTGCCAGAGAAGAGGGTACTTTATGAATTTCTTATTTTGGGTTTGATGACAATATATAAGTATACACTACACTTTCTAGAATTACCTATTTCATTACACTTTTCCTTAAAGCAAATAAAAGTATCCAAAATACAAAAGTAAAAAACAAACTTAGAAAATAACTTTAAAAATGGAAGGAAAGATGTTACTTTGAAATATCTTTTTTTTTTTTTATTTATGCCTTACACATAGAACTTCTTTTTAGGGTCACTACAGAGGAGCAGAATTTAGCAGATGTTACAATTCTAGTAAAGTTACTAAAATAGCCCTTTCAGGTTGGCGCAGTTTTCCCTGTATTTAAATGGATTAGCCTGGAGTCATTACCGCTGAAAATAATACTAATCACTTTAATTCTGATTAAAGGGACATGCAAGGCCATTCCAGAAGAACTGTTAAGTCAGCAGCAACCTCAATCTCCCAGGAAAGCCTTTGAGAAATACTCATAGATCTTGTCTGTGGCTCTAGGAATACTTCTTCTGATTTATAGTAAAGCTAATAGATTTTTATCAGAGCAACTTTTAAGATGAAAGCAAATTTAAAGAAAAGAGCAAATATCACAAAGGAAAATAAAAAAATCTCATTCCTTAAAAAAATTTTTTTGATTTTAAAAACCTTATATAGTTTTGCTTTCTTTTGACAAATACTGGGTGCTGTTGTTATTCAGAGAAATCCTTGGCAATGTATTTGTAACTAGTATAGCAACTCCTGTCATAAAGCTTTTTCTTTACATACTTGTATGATTATTTAACTTGTAATATCTGATTTACAAAAAGAAAAAAATCAATTTACTCCTGAGCTTATATGCCCATTTTCCTTGAGTTTTAGTGTCTAGATTTCTAGTATTTCTTGAATATGACAAAAAATTGCAGTGGGTCAATAATAAAATCTTCTCAGGATACGATTATTACAGTTAACCTGATTTTTTTAAAGATCGTTTCAAGAAAATTAAAGCATAATATATGATTTGTAGCTGAAGAAAAAAATTACACTTAGGAAAAAAAATCCATGTTTATTTGTTTATTTTCTGTGACATGTATATATTATATAGTGGTTTTTGGGGGGTTTTTGTTTTTTGAGACAGGTTTTGCTCTGCTACCCAGGCTGTAGTACAGTGGTGCAATCATACCTCACTGCAGACTCAAACTCCTAGGCTGAGGCAGGAGGACTGCCTGGGACTACAAGTGAATGCTACCACATGCAGTTAATTTTTCTATTTTTTGTAGAGATGGGGTCTTGCTATGTTGCTCAGGCTGGTCTCAAACTCCCGGCCTCAAGCAATCCTCCTGCCTCGGCCTCCCAAAATACTAGTATTACAGGGATCAGCCACCATGCCCAGTGAGTATGATAAATTTTAATAGCAGTCTATTTAATAGCTCTAACAAATAAGTCACATTTAAACTATTTTAAATATCATCTTATTTTTTATATATTTTAATACTTGTAAGTTTTTAAAAAAATTATCATTGCCTAAGATATATGTTTTGATAAATACTCTTAAAATAAAATTAGTGAGCACATTAGTTAAATGTGGTAATTAAAGGTGGGGTTCAAATCCCAGCGCTTCCACTTATTAGGGCTGTGTGATCTTGGAGAAACTGCTTGATTGTCTGCCTCAGTTTCCTTATCTATTGAAAGGGAAAAATAGTAGTACCTACCTTATAAAGTAGATGCAATGATTAAGAGAAGTTAATTTTTATACAGCACTTGGTGCAATGCCATGCAATAAGTATTTAATAACTGTGTGCTTTTATTATTGTTATTGTGGGTTTTATTGTTGAGTGAAACAAATGGCCAAATTCTCTTCCCTTCTTGAGGCTTAATATAACAAAGTCAAAGAGACAGAACAAAAATTTCTCATCAGGGCATGGTTATGATTTCTATGGTAATGATTTCTGACTTATCAATTAGCTGATTTACTGTAGTATTTTAATTTCTTATGCTTATAATAAACAATTAAAATTAGATGTATAAAAAGAACTGTTGATGCCCTTCATTGAACTATTAATACAGAGCTTACCCACCTGTGCAGCTCTTCTGTTTTGTCTTCAGTTGGACCTACGATTAGTAAACAATGGCGAAGGACAGCTGCCATGACACGGAACTGATGAGAATCACTCTATGGCAAATAAAAAAGAGAGGAAAAATTGGGGGTTGAATGCCTTAATGGAGGCATCTGGTGCATTACCACATCTCTTGCCCCTCAAAACAATCATTCTTGTACCATACATTGTATACAGCAGGATATTACAGGAAGAATTCTCATGGTAATACTAAGTAAACAGTCACTATCTCATAAGAATAAGCACAACCATGTCCAGAAATGGCCGATACCAGTAGTGGCTGGCCACTCTGCTTTACCTTAAGATTCAATGGTCACTAGGGATTTTTTCATTTCCAGAAAGCCTAGATTCTTTTGTTCTATGGTATAATGTTCCAGTTTACCAGTCATTACAAAAGTTCAACAGATGTGATGTTATCAGGTATTTTAGAGGCTGGTCGTATGTCCTTAATAAAAATGTCTCATTTCATAACTTTCAAAAGCAATAACTTCATCAAATTCATTTTAATCAATCTTCTTAATAGCTTAATTCTTCCCAGAACTACCATCAAGTAATGAAAGCAAGCAATCTCCAATGTTTACTCATTGGCAGTGCTATGAGAGACTGAGGGAAACAATAGGAAATAAATTAAGCTCTCAATATCATTTGATTTACGTCTTCATTTTTAGTGAGATCTTGAGCCATTACAGCTTTTTTTTTTTTTGAAACGGAATCTCACTCTGTTGCCCTGGGTAGAGTGCAGTGGCATCATCATAGCTCACTGCAACCTCAAACTCCTAGGCGCAAGTGGTTCTCCTGCCTCAGCCTCCCAAGTAGCTGGGACTACAAGTGGGCATCACTGTGCTTGGCTAATTTTTCTGTTTTTAGCAAAGATGGGGTCTTGCTCTTGCTGAGGCTGGTTTCAAACTCCTGAGCTCAAGCAATCCTTCCGCCTCAGCTTTCCATGGTGTCAGGATTACAGACGTGAGCCACTGTGCCCAGCCTTATTATAACTTCTTTAATTATCTGCATCAAGGTCACATCTCTGGTCTTCCAGATTTTAAGTAATTAAGAAGACACATGAAATTAGAAAAAATTATGACAGAGAGCCTGGATATGCCATACTTTAGGAAGGCTCCTATTACTTCAGATGGTACATAAAAATCCTAAAACTTAATATATAATTGATTTCAAGTCCATGTAAATTGAAACATATTCACAAATTATATACATATATCCTATGTTCATATATATAACTCAGATTTTCCTAGGAAAATCTCTCTCATAAAATCTAGCAAGCAATGAGGGCATACTTTACTAATAATGTGGATAATATTTTAAATATTAACACCATCTTGTGTAAATTTGAAAGAGATGAAGGCCTAAGTGAAAAATAAAAAGCAGTGCACTTGGGGTCAGGAGTGTAGGTTCTGACTTTAGATAAGTCAAATAGTTTCTCTGAGCCTCGGTTTCTCTACATGCATCTCCACAAACATGAGGTTCTGTTAGGGTTATAAAAAGATTAAAGAAAATGGTATATATGAAAGAGTTCTAAAACTTTCAATAAGACATTTGAAGGTGAGGGGAAAGGGTGAAGGAGGAAGGAAACAAAAGGTAAGACTGACAGAACCATTTCTCTACTAAAAACAACTACTGAAACCCTGCATCGTTTTCCCCTGCTTTTGCATTGCTGATTCCTTTTCATACTTCAGGTCTCAGCTAAAATATCTTCTCAGGGAAGACATTTGACGACCTTTTATCAAGCAGATTCCTTCCTTCAGGATCTTAAGATTTTTCTCATGAAATCATAATTTGTAATTTCAAATTATTTATATATACTTTTATTTCCTCCACTAATCTATTACCTTAATGAGGATAAATTTTAATGTACATACATGCTAAGTATATCATAAGCAGAAAAATGCAGAAATCGTAAGTGTATAGCTAAATAAATTTTCACAAAATGAGCACGCTCATATAACTATGAAAATCATGAAATATCAAGATTAAGAACTCCAGAATTCTCCTCATGCCCTCAAGTGACAATTTTCTGTTCCTGAAAGGTAATCCTAACTTCTAATGTCACTGGCTAGTGATTTTTGTTATCAAACTTTATATGAATGGAATCATAAAATATAGACCTTCTTTTGTCTGGCTGTGAGATTCATCCACATTACAGTGTGTAATTTGCTGTAGTTTGTTCCTTCCCTATGTAGTTTGTTCTTTCCCACTGCTTGAGAGTAGTGCTGTTTATTTGAAATGTAGTTAGTATGCCAGTGCTGGCTCATCACTGATTTGTAATACCCTCACTGTAATACCATCAATGATCTGTGATACAGAAGGTGTGTATGAACATTTAGCAACTTTTTTGAACAGTCTGACATTGTGTAATATTGTATTAAACAAGAGTTTCATTCTGACAGCTAGGGGGGAAAAACCCTATCTGTGGTCCTTCACTATGGATAGGTTAAGAAAACACTGCTGTATAGTAGTATTCCATTATATGAATACACCACAATTTGCTTGTCTATTCTTGATAGACACTTGGATTGTTTCTAGTCAGCTTTGGGATATTTTGAACAGCCCAAAAAGATGGAGCAGGGACTCCTTGCAGGGACCTGCAGGGAGGGGGACTAAACTTGGAAATAAAGGGAAATTTTCAGTTCCTTCAGGGAAAGTTCCAGGAAGGGATAGTCTTAAAAAGTAAATGGGTGGTCGGGTGGGGTGGCTCACGCCTGTAATCCTAACACTCTGGAACATCGATATGGGAGGACTGCTTGAGGTAAGGAGTTGGAGACCAGCCTGAGCAAGAGTGAGACCAGTCTCTACTAAAAATAGAAAAAATTAGCCAGTCAACTAAAAATAGAAACAAAAACTTAGCCGGGTGTGGTGGCTCATGCCTATAGTCTCAGCTACTTGGGAGGCTGAGGCAGGAGGATTGCCTGAGCCCAGGAGTTTGAGGTTGCTGTGAGCTACGTTGATGCTATGGCACTCACTCTAGCCCGGGCAACAATGAGAGACTCTGTCTCAAAAAAAACCCCCCCCCAAAACAAGTGAATGGGTAACATGAGAACGGTGTTTTGGTTCCCTATAAAAACTAAAAGATGGCATCAAGGGGGAACTGGGGGATTGAATTCTGACCCCCATTCAGAGGCCTTGTCACATCCATCTTAACATTCCTTTCTGCTAATCCAAGAATCTCTGAATCCACCTATACTCACTCCCCACTTTCAGGATATCCTGCCTTTTGGGCCAGCATAATATATAATCTCCATGTATTGATTTACAATTTTGCCTGCCTGAATTGTACCCCTGCCTTTAAAAACGTTGGCTTGCAAACCATTGGGAAGTCCAGGTCTTAAGCATTAGCCCCGTTGCAATTCTTAGCTTCAATGTCTGACTTCACTGTGCCAGGTGAGAAGATCCCAGTTTCTTTTGGTAACAAGTGCTGCTATGAACATACTTTTTACATGTCATTTATGATATCTATTGGGTATATACCCAGGAGAGGAGATGCTGGGTCATGGGGCATATACATATGTCAAGCTTTAGAAGATACTGCCAAACGATGTTTCCAAGTGCTTATACCAATTTATACTCCCACCATTTGCTCTACAGATGTACCAATACTTGGTATTGTTAGCCCCCCCCCCACCTTTTTTTCACATTTCCTTCAAAATCTCTAAAATAATCATAGAACCAACAACTTCTGTTACAAAGTGACATTCCCATTCTACGGGCATTCATTATTGTACTTCATTCAAATGGTATCTTCTGACTACTTACAATTTGTACTTCTTTGTACTTGCTTGTCTGGCTCTAACACGTCTGCTGGTTTTTGTACTTTCTTATTATGTTGCATTGATATCTGGGAAGCAGTGGAGAAGGAAGTGTGTGCTAAGTAAGTGGTCCCTAGAATAACATACTCTCTTCCCTCCACAAAGAGATTTAGGAAAATGTTAAAAGTAGGAGAAAGACAAGACCATTTCAATGAACTTTTCCAGAATGGACTTTATAACCTGCTAAAGGAATCAACTGATCTTTTGAAGAATACCACCTTTACAAAAGGGACAGAGAGAAAGTCTAGAGGGAAGGAGGGTGAAGGGAGAGACTGACTTCACATGTAGAAATAAGGCCAGCCACATTCTCCACTGCATGAAGAGGAATCTCCAAACTAATATGCCAAGGGCATCAAGCAGGCCAGCAGGAATTTAACACTGAGGCATGAATCTAAAATGAACAAATTGTGCTAATTTGCTAAACCTCAAGAAAAACCTAGTCATTAATTTTCTGTTTTTGGTGAACTGTAAATGGAAGCAATCATAAAAATATGTACTAAAACAGGTAAAACCAAAACCCAAATGTTTGTGTTTTCTAAACTGTCAAACTGTGAAATAGTCAAAGATTTTAAAAAGTAAAATGCCCGTGGTTTGAAAAGGTATAAACCAGCACTATTTTTCAGGTCAGTTTGGCAATATACACTGCCAAAAAACTTCCCTTTGGCCCACCAATTTTAGGAAGGTATCTGCAGAAATTTTACAAGAAAACTCATTGTATTAGTATTTAAAATAGCAAGCAATTGCAAACAATCTAAGTGCTTCCAAAAGGGGGATTTGTTAAAGGTTGATAAATCTTTCCTTATGAGGAAATACTCATAAGTATTATTATACTTGTGAATCTTCTTTATTCTCATAGGTCTTTTTATACTTGTGAGTCTTCTTTCATAAGGATTTATTGCTTTTAACAAATAGGAACTAGAAGGTAGTTGTCAAAAAAATTTCTTTTGGTTGAAGAATCCTTTTTATCCCCTAAATGAAATCTAAGTTACAACCTAAATATAAGAGAAACAACAGTAACAGTACTAACCATTGGTGCTTTTTTAAAAGTGTGGGTGAGGAACTTGGAACATTGTCCACTCACTCCCAGAGGCCATCCTTGAAACTTTAGGGCTTCAAGGAACACATTTTGGAAACTATTACTCTTCAAGAACATTTATTGTGAAAAATAAGACCAAGATTGAAATCACTGTATTTAAATAAAAATGTATGTATATGTTTTTGTTTATATATTATACAATGAAGAATGGTTAGAAAGATAGACCTTAAAAAAAATGAAATAATGTCTTTTGCTGCAACTTGGATGGGACTGGAAGCCATTATCCTAAGTAAAGTCACTCAGCAATGTAAAATCAAATACCACATACTCTCACTTATCAATAGGAACTAAACCATGGGTACTCATGGTCATACAGAGTGAACAATAGAGAGTGAAGACTCCAAAGGTGGGATAGGGGATGTGAGATGAAAAATTAGCTATTGGGCACAAAGTACACTATTTGGGTAATGGGTACACTAAAAGCCCAGATCTCACCACTATGCAATATATCCCCATATAATAAAACTGTACTTGTACCCCCCAAATATATTTAAATAAAAAAAAAGATATATATCAAAAAGCAAATAGTGCTTATCTTCTGAGTGGTGAGTTTATAGCTAATTTTATTTTCTTATTGCTTGTATTTTTTTCCTGGATCTTCTATATGAGCATGTATTATTTTCCTAGGAAGGAAAATAACATTATTAATTTTTAAAGTTTTAAAGTGGATTTTTCTGTAAAATAAGTTTTCCATATTCCTTCACTTCAGTTGGTCTTTTAATGTATTGATGATTCTTTAGGTGCTTGCTCAAATGAAGTCAAATGTCTTTTGTCTGATAACCAAGGAGATACTGAAATGTAGGCAAATGGACTCTTAGTAGTAAGTTTCTCTACACCCTGATTAAAGATTTTCTTCATGCCAAGTTGTGGGTACCTCACTAAGAAGTACTCTATGCTCTGGTTTCTGTGTCTTTTCATGCGCTGTTCAATTTCCAAGAAATGTTCATTCTCCCATTCTTCAAAGGGCTAAATCATCCTCGGTCTTCAGATCCTCAGGAGAGACCTTTAGAAGTCTTGACTATACTAAACATTCCCAATCATTGTACCGTTTGTCTCCTAGCACATAATATGATTTGCATTATATATTTGTTTACTGATTTATTATCTATCTCACCTACAAAACCAAAGCTTCATAAAGGAAAAGACTATGCCTATTATTTGCCAATATATTACACAATGTCCAGCATATCTAGTAATTGTCCATAAATATTCATTGAGTGAATGAATGACTAAACATCTGATAAAAGTTGAATTTGGAAACTCATGAAGACATTCTTATTTAAATAGGTTGGCAAGAATCCTATTTTTAATGCTGTTTAAATATCAGAAAACTTCAATAATAGCTTGGAGTCATATTAACTGTGTACATTTTATAATGGCTATTATTGATTTATCCAGTACTCCTAACAGGTACTAGGTCTGAGATACCTACTCCAGGATTACTGATTTTTTAGCACGTATCTTTTAGAGAATAAACAATTCTATAACACAGAATGACTGTTACTTCAACATATTCTAAAGGTTCTTCTAGTCCCCAAATTACTTATAACTGAAACCCAGGGTTAATCTCACTTACTAATATTTATTACATGTCATCTGTACATATAACATGTGCAGCCACTGAATTTTAAACTCGTTTTGTCAGGAATCTGAACAGTGTGAGCTACTATTTTGGGCATAATTTAAATTGTAACAGGGCCTCCAACAATGACAAACCAATAGTCTCAGAGGAGCTCTTGCAACTAAATGGAGAGCTTAAAAACACCAAAACAAACATCATAAGAAAAATAACCATAGAAGGTACCAAATAAGCATAGAGACATAACATTTTAAATACTTCCAAATATTTGGTTTCAAAGCATAAATGGAGCATGTGGGCTTTGCACATCTTTTCCTGCCAAGTCCCAGGAAAAACTGACCATACTATGGTCATCTAAAACAGCTGTTAGGACTGATCTTCAAATATTTGGTTTCAAAATACAGACCTATTTGCACTTTAAAACTCAGATGTCTGCATACTCCCACTATAGCGTTGCACTGAGATAATCCTTTTAAAGTAGGCTGTTGACAAAAACAGATCTTTATTTATGGGTGAGAACTGTTTCAAATGGACACAGCAAAATGTTAGCATAAATCTTAAAGTCCATTGTCAGAAAAAAATAATTTGCTCTGGCACCCAAATAGCTCTTTCTTCCCCCTTTTTGTATAGGCAGGAATTGAATTCCACTAGTTATTTAAGGCTAAAAAGAGAGAGTAAATGTGAAATGTTACAATTCTAGAAGGAAGGAAAAGAGTTTATGTCCACTTCACTTAAAATTGTTGACTTCCTTAAACTAAGTTTATCATATTTAGCATATTGTTCTTGTGGGTACTCAAATTAAACTATCAAATCTGCCTCACTTTGGGATGCTGGGAAGTCCTAAGCCACAGAAAAGGATCATCAAATAGAAATAAGTCAAGTGGTTTAAAATAACCTTTCCCACACTCTAGTGTAATTATGCTTATTTTTTAGGACTTGTGTATCAGCATGTATAATATAGCTGTAGTCCCATACTTCTGATAGTTATCTAACACTACAAGGTAACACCCTAGGAGACGTCTCTGGAATGATAGGCATATACAGGGCATCTTTTACCCTTTTGAGCAGACATCAATTCTGATTGATCAACTTCAACTGGTTTGATTCATCTTAAGATGGCAGCCACTAAAAAATGCCTATACCTTTATCAACCACACTGTTTTGTTTCCCTTCAAATCTTATTATTTAAATTTTGTCCCTGAAAGAGGTACTCTTAAAAGAGAAAAGTGATAGTACAACTCAGCAAACTACCTATATCTGACATCTTACAAAACAGCAGTTCATCTTCACTATATTCTTCTGGTAGGTGTTACACAAATGGGTAAATAAGACTTGTAACAGTTAAGAAATGTAACCTGGGTCATACAACTGATTAATGGGGGAATTGGGAACGTCTTCCATTTCCCAACTTAGTATTTTTCCCTCGCAGGTAGCTCTAGGGATGCCCCAGATCAATTAAATTCCAAGTAGATAAAGATCCTCTTCCCAACCTTACCTCTTTATGGACCTTCCAACTGTCTACTGTCACATTGAAAAGAGCTTTGAGGGCCTCAATGGCACAGTCTGTCTCCTGAGGTGAGAGAGGAGGTCCATTATGATCTATGGCCGATTCATACTCATCGGTCCACTTGATGCTAAAGGCACTTTCCAAAATCTGGGTTAGCAGCGGTAGTCCCTGGAGCTCATAGCGCAATTGTGACCTGATGTCGGTGTGCAAAAGTGACAGTAGGAAGAGCAAGCGCAAGTCAAAGCACTTAATGTCATTGATAAATTTTCGGTCCTTGCACTTTCTCAGGAGGTTACAGAGCTTTGCAGCAAGATTAAGTTCCAGGCTGAGCTGCTGTGCCATCTGACTGTTGAACACTATGTTACACAGACATTTTAATGACTCCACAATAACTGGGAACTCTGACACCTTCTCCAAAGAATCATCCGACTCAGTTAGCTTGGCTAGTCGCAGAAGTATCTGCATATTTTCCTTAGTTGTTACAGGAACTAAAATCTTTTTGTCTCTGGAGAGAATGCGGAGTACTTCCAGGCAGGATACTTGACATGTTGTTGGCACGTCCTTTACAAGGACTTTAAATATGCCTTCACAGAGTTTCTGAAAAACAAGAAGTAGTATGCAAAAATCATTATTTAGCTCAAACGATTTAAAACAGAATGCTTCTCTACCAATGTATTTAACAACAATTAAGGATCTGGCTAGAAAAAGTTTTTATTTTTTTGTAAATCTCAGAATGTTTAGAACTAAAAGAGACCTTATATTTGGTGTACTTCTTTCACTTCATAGATATGGAAATTGAGGGCCAGAGAGGTTAAGTTACTTGCACTGGGGCAAAGTGAATTAGTGGCATAGTTATGGGTTTCCTACTTTCCTTCCAATATTCTTTCTATAAAAATCACTTACTCTATTTTAAACTAACTTCAAATATCGTATACAACTTTGTTCTCAATGGCTTTTTAACATCAGACTAAACATAATATCAGGATGGAAGGCAACCAGTTTGAATCATAGCTGTTCCCTTCTCAGAAGTAAAGATTGACACCTAGAGAATTAGTTCATATTTGTCCACAGTATAGGCTTTTGTAGAAAGACTTAAAGAAATATGCATTTCTGCTGAGTTATAGTTGTGCTATTTCTTCTGAATTTACAATTCTATCGTCCCATGTTTCAGAAACCAAAAAACCCTCTTTAGCTAAAATGTAATAGTATTTAATCACCAAGTGACCTCAGAGAAAAACTTATGCTGACATACTAATGACAATTATTCTAAGTGTTGGGTTCCAAATAGAGTTCAGCTAGCATATATTATTCCTTTAGCCAACTGCAAAAAGGTGACCCCTCCAGGGAGACTGCTAAAAAGTATTCCCACTGGGTAGACAATTATTAAAGAACCTCTCTTTCTCTAGGTAGCCCTGTGCCAGGACACATGGTTTGGGAAGCTCAGAGTGTAGACAGAATTTTGGCTCCCTTTTGTTTTCTTGGTGTAGGATGCAGATTGCATAAATATATGTAGCAGGCTTGGTTCCAATCTTTCTACCAATATCTCAGTAACAAGTATTTCAGGATGGACCCAAATATCTTGTATTTTTTGAAAAGTAATTATTTATACCAATTCCAAATTTAAGAATCACTGACCATTCCCTGAAAATTCAATGTCGGCTTTCTTTATAAATTGCAGGTCTGGGTCTCTCAAGCTTACCTTCACATGTGGACCAAGCAGGTATAACCATTCCATTGCTGAACATTTCTGTACCCCATTATATTTTACAAAAACAATAGTAACAACAACTATGATCAAAATAAGATTTTACAAAGTTTCTATTATCAGAATTTGCCTCTTTAAATAGAGGCTTCCTGGGGGTCAAGCATTATGATCCTGGCAGGAATTTCAGGCTATGTGTACCTTCTCATTACATCTTAGTGGTACAGCTATAGAAATGTCAATTTTAAACATATAGTCATCCCTCAGTATCCATGGGGGAATTAGTTCCAGAACCTTCTGTAAATACCAAAATTCACAGATGCTCCAGCCCCTGACAAAAAATGTAGTATTTGCATATAACCAACACACATCCTCTTGTATACTTTAATCATCTCTAGATTATTTATAATACCTAATACAATGTAAATGCGATGTAAATAAAAATAGCTGTTATACTATATAGTTTGGGAATGACAAGAAAAAAGCCTGTACATGTTCAGTACATATGCAACCATCCATTTCTTTTCCCCTGAATATTTTCAATCTGCAGTTTGTTAAATCCACAGATGTAGAACTGACCATATGAAGGGATGACTGCACTATGTTTTCTAAATATAAGTAGGAAGGAACTTTACCTGACAAGCTAAAAAAAATTTTATAACAATGTCAACTCTATCCCTGCCATACCTGATAACTAGAAGGGACCTTCTTTTATATTTCAGTATCACTGTTAAAGCATTTTAAAAAATGAATGTAGTTTGGAGACGGGAGGAAGTATAATGTGCCCATTGTTAAAAATATACAAAGCAAAGAAAATTTTCTCCAATTGCAGATCTTTCACATCCAAGACAAAAAAATACATTCTACATACTACTTCATACGTGGTCTATTCCTGGTGGTAGAGTGAGATCACTTTTGTTCCTATACAATTTACTTCAAGAAGGAAATCATCTACCTTTCTATTTAAGAAATGTGTAATAAATATGGCATTACAAAATATTATATATGTGAATTTGGAGTTCTACATATCGAATAGTATACAAAATCTTTAGCTCCCTCCTTTCTAAACCAAACAACAATAAAAAAAAAAAAAATCAAAGGGCAATATGGTTCCTTTCTTCCTAACTTCAAATCAGAAAAGAAAAAGAGCAGGGCGTGAAGACAAATTGGAATAAACATGGCTATCTATAGCCCAAATGGACCAGGAAACTTTGGGACCTAACAAGGACATGAAAGAGAATAGGGATGCCTACAAAATTCATAGTTAAGAACTACTTCATTTAAAAGCCTGTATAAGACTACCCAGCAATCAAAGACAAAAGTTCTTATTTTAAAGCACAGTCTTATAGTTTTTCTTAAACATACCATTTCTCACTATAGACACATTACTTCACTTAATGACTGTTAGGTAGCTTTCTACTATAATGTCTCTTGAAAAGTAATATCATTTTTTGGACAATGACTCCTTTTTTGAGTTATAATTTATTAACATTTCTTAATAATCAAAACACATAAAACATAATTTTAAAAGGGTTAATGTCCTTAATACTTTATTCAATATAAACAATTCTATTAAAAGAATATTATAAAGAGCAAATTAATAAATCATGTATCACATTTGGATGGATGAAAAAGTTACACTTTGCATATGCACACCAGCAAGAGGGTTGAAAAGGTAGCATTCTTTATGATGCCTCCTTTATCTGTTGAGGACACACAATGCTTCCGTGTTCCAAGGGTATGCTTGTATTCCCCTTTATTTTGCCCCAAGAGTATTTTTCTGTCCTATAACTATTTTTTAAGTTGATTTTTTTCTTCCTAAAACATTCTCTGCTCTCCTCAAACATTTTCCATAGCTCCCTGCTGCTCACAGATTGCTGCTGAAATGAGCCCTTTTCTATTGCTCTCTTTGTGACACACACAAACACCTCTCCTCTTTCTTCTTCAGGTGTTCTAAACTGATTTCCAGTCCCTGACTATAATATGTCTTGAGCCTTTCCTCTGTTGTTCCTTTAGTATGGCATGCCCTGCCATCTGCCCAACAGGGATTGCCAAAAAAACTTCAGTAGTTTGCTCCTGAACTGAAACCCTAGCGTAGACTATAGCAGTGGGTCTCAAAACTTTAGCAAGCATCATAATCATCTAAAGGGCTTATTAAAATACAGACTGTTATACCTCATCCCCAGAGTTTCTGATTCAGTAGGTCTAGGATGAGGCTCCAGAACTGGGACTTTTAACAAGTCCCCAGTTGATGTTGCTACTTGATGTTGCTACTAGTCCACGAGCAATACTCTGAGAGCCACTGAACTATGGTTAACAATGGACTGACATAATCTGGATGTTAGGGGGTAAGAGTTAACTGAGAATAACTCACCAGATGAACAAAGAAAAGCAGGCAGAATTCAAAGCCCTTAGCACAAACATCTTAATTTCTCCTTCAATGTCCTATGCTGAAGATATATACGGTTGGCAGGAACAGGAATGAGATGTTACTGTCTGTCACATTACTTTTCTTTTCTTAAATGTTAAAAACTACTAGAGATGTGAAGCACACTACTTGAAATATAATGCAAACTTCTGATCTTGAAATTTGTTCAACCTACTATGGACTCTAGAACCAGAAAAGTGTGGGGATTAAGAACAGGAATTCTGGATTTAAACAGTTTGCATTCAAATCTTGGCTCTTTTATACTTAACGGTGTGACTCTGGGTAAGTTACTTAGTCTCTGGGCCTCATTTACTATAAGAATTAAGTGAGATCATATATGTTCCACACAGTGTATGGCAACTGATAAATCTTCAGTACAGGTTATCAATTATATGTTATTATAAGATAAAATCTCAAAGTCTTCAGTTTAGCATTTAAGATCCTCCAACCTGGCCGGGCGCGGTGGCTCACGCCTGTAATCCTAGCACTCTGGGAGGCTGAGGCGGGCGGATTGCTCGAGGTCAGGAGTTCAAAACCAGCCTGAGCAAGAGCGAGACCGCCGTCTCTACTATAAATAGAAAGAAATTAATTGGCCAACTAATATATACAGAAAAAATTAGCCGGGCATGGTGCCACATGCCTGTAGTCCCAGCTACTCGGGAGGCTGAGGCAGTAGGATCGCGTGAGCCCAGGAGTTTGATGTTGCTGTGAGCCAGGCTGACGCCATGGCACTCACTCTAGCCTGGGCAACAAAGGGAGACTCTGTCTCCAAAAAAAAAAAAAAAAAAATATCCTCCCAACCTGCTTTGAGTCTTGTTTCATACTATTCCTATCAAATCTTCCTCTTTAGCTATATTCCTTCCCAACTATCTCACATTGAGCTCTCTTACTTTCTTACCACCTCCTCTCTACAAGTTTAGTCTTTTTCCTTTTCTGCTGATTTGTTTTAACCATTCTCCAAAGCTAAGCTAAAATGCACTTTTAATATAAAGTTTCTCCTAACTACTTTAGCCACACATTCTTCCTTTCCAAGGAATACCCAAATCACAAATTTGTAGCAATCATTTGGTGCTTTAGTACACTCATCCTATTAGTTTTCTTTGAGTTTCTCTCAACTAAGAGCTCTCTAAAGGCAGAAAGGACATCTTATAGTGGCTTTTGAATCAGAAAGACCTTTTTTTCTTTTTGAGATAGGGTCTCGCTCTGTCACCCAGGCTACAATGCAGTGATGTCATCACAGCTCACTGCAACCTCAAACTCCTGGGTTCAAATGATCCTCCTGCCTCAGACTCCTGATGAGCTGGGATTAGACATGTGCTACCATACCAGGCTAATTTTTCTTTTTTTTTTTGGTAGAGATGGGCTCTCACTTCTGCTCAGACTGGTCTCAAATTCCTCCCACATCAGCCTGCTAAAGTGCTAGGATTACAGGCACAAGCCACCATGCCCAGCCAGGACCTGGGTTTA